TGAAGTAATTGTAAAATCTTGTTTTGTTAACATTCTTCAAATTTGGATAAAAGTTATTTCTGAGAGAATTGACGTTTAACGTTTTACCTTAATAGGAATTTGTAATGGTCTCAATTTTTAAGTTATTACGACGATATGTAGCCACAACAAAATATTTTAAGAACCAGTTCTATACAGTATACGGGGTTCTATACAATATACAAACTTGTTCAGGAATTTTTAAATGAAAACGCTCGCGATTGTTCGTACAACTTCCCTGGACAGTCTGCACGCAGCTCCACTTATTTTTCCGCGGTTTGACCCGTTGAATATATAAATATCTATATACATGTCACTCCTTCGAAGAAAAGCCATTACAAGCGCACTAATAATAAAGAGAAATCTATAGATCTTTATTTATCGTCACCGGATCAGATTTACGGCGGTCCGGTAATAATATATGGATCTAAGGTGTAATTACCGCCACAACCACGCCGGTAAATGGAAATAGTGTCATTGAATCGGGCAGGGTAATTAATATTGTTGATATTTGTATTCAGCATCCATAAACGTGAAATGAATATTAAATTTGGAGTAATTATGTATTGGAAGTCTTACGTAAGGCTTATGCTAGCTTGTCTTTGGAAAAAATATAAAAATTTGACAAATTACATGTTACTATATTATTTTGTTGTGCTGTAAACGTTACTTTCATAGTTTTTGTCAAAAACAACTCAAAAATTCTCTCTAAAAAAGACATAAACACACCGTATAGTCGATGTTAATGATTTGACAATAAAATGAACGTAAAATAACAAGGAAGCAAGTGTATAAATTATTTTTAGCAGGAAATATAGTTTTGAGATTGTACTTTTAGTGGAATTTACTTTCTAATATTGCAGTAAATGCAAGTTTTGTTAGAAAAAAGTTTACATATTATTCGGAATGCATTGTTGCATCAGACAAATATCAACTACCAAAACAGAAGAATAAAAAAGTATCAAAATAGGTTAAGGTGTGTTCATACGATTTCTTCGACTTAAATATTCAACAAAATGTGATTTATGGGAAAAATTATTATTTATTTTTACAATGTTTGCTTGCATGAAGATCAAACAAAGGACTCAAGATATACTAGATTTTTGAATTAGGGGAAAATAACATTATTTTAATTACCTAAAGTTAAAAATAATTAATATTTCGACAAATATGTGGGAGTTTTACAAAAATGGTAAATATTATTTCTTTAATCGAAATATTAAGAACTTTATTATTTAAGTTAATCCATTAATAAAGTTAAGATAGTACTCTAATTAAAAAAAATGTTGGAAGTCTAGTTAAAAATAAAAGTTCCACTAAAACTGAAAAAAAAAAAATCAAAAACCGATACATTTATTTTTATAAATATTGATTTATTTCAATAGAAATTCAAAATGAGTCAAAATAAATGAAAGCTATTAGAGAAAATCTCCAAACATTTTGAAAAATTTAAGTTTTATTTTTAAACTTTAACTTTTTAAAGTAACGCCACTTTCTCTTAATTAAAAATTGACAAAAATAATTATTTTAGTATTATGAAAAGTCAAAATTATTAAAAACGTTTTTTTTCCTAAAATCGTATAAACAATAAAAAAAACAGTATCAATTAATAACAAATTTACGGTTCATTTAAAAAAAAAGAGATATTGTTTGTTGAGTACCGATAATTAAATTGGGAAAAAAACAGAAATAAGAATTTTGATAGCATAAGCTAAATCTTAATAATAGTCTGCCAACAAACTTCCTTAGCCTTAGCAAGGAATCTTTGACCAGTCTTTGTTGTTCTCGAGGTAAGCTGTATGGGGGCGACCCGCCACGGACAGTATATCACCACTGCCTGAGGAGATGTTCCATTCGTAGCGGTTTTAGAAACTGCAACCGAAACGAACATAAGGACAGAACTAGGGATTCTAATAACGTGTTCGCCCCCCCCAGAACCCAGTCCGAGAACAACAAGGGCATCACATTCTCCTGAAATTAAATTTTGGATTTATATACCACACTAACCTACACGGTTAAAATCTTTGTCAGCCGAGGAAGGCTCACGGAAATTTTAGTTTCATTTTATTACCAAAACCCCACGAGGCTAATTGGTGTTCAAATATTTGTCAGTAAACAAAACCTGAGATCAGCGTTGATGCAACCGCCTTTCCCAAACTTTCCACAACTCAAAACTAACCCGGCGGTTCGCCATGCACCAACGCAGATCGAAGTCCACTCGTGGAAAAAGCAAAAAGCCGATCGGCCCGCTGGAAAGCGCGCGAAATGCAGAGGATAATCGATTTTGTGCACATCAGCGATGAGTTGCACAATCCACAGGTGGGCGTAATGTGACGACTTCTTTCCGAGCTCGGTGGCTTAGTTTCCATTGGACTGGAACCGACATGACCGCAGTAAGAAACTGAATCGTAAACAATCGCCCACACCGCTCGAGATTGATATAGTAAGAAGAAACGGTGTTTACTCGACGATATTCGTCATCGTATACACTTTGTTCATTATTCGAAATAAAGTTTGTGACATGCACGGATATATCACAATCGCCAATCCTCCTGTACGTTAACTTAACGCTCTGATGGTCGGAAATCGTATCGGTCCTGGTATGCGCGAAGGAAAAGCCGAAGGGCACAGTCGCTCAAGGACTTGAGCATGGATTGGCGTTATCTCAGATCCCAGTTGTCGTTTATTCACGCTTATTTATCCGAAGTAGGCGCTCCAATGGTTTCGCGGGCAATTATATTGTCATTATGTAAATAGCCGAGGGGGCCTCGCCACCAGGCCGGAGAGTAGCACGAAGAAAAGGCGACGCTTTAAAATGTTTCGTCGTCGAATGAAACTTCGCGCACACAATTACAAAGTACAAATTACAAATTTGAATACGACTTTGGAAGCTTGAGAGTTGAGGAATAAGCGTTACAGTGATTGTAACTTGAAAACTTCATGAATCAAAAACGTGGCATTAAATGATAAAATTTATGTCCATATTTTCTTCTTAAAATATTATGTAGTACTTGACATAATTTTTTTTTAATTCCAACAGTTTTAATTTAAAATTTTGTAATTTTGCTTTCAGATTAACAATCAACGACCTCGAAAACCTGAGGAATCGGTGGTTTAGATGTCTGGATTTGGTTCTTCTCTCTTTGACTACTCAATTTCAACAGATGATTTATCGAAAAGGTAAGAACATATTTGAACTATTCAAAATACATTTTGAAGGGGAAAAATAGTATTTTTCAAGTTTTGATGAGCAAAACTACATCGTGATGTAAAATAATCTCAAATATAGGGGAAAATCGCGTTTTCGCACTTTTAACCAAGGATATCTCGAAAACCTGACGTGATGAAGCATTTTAGTAGCGTGTCAAAAATCATTGAAAAAGTATAGTTCGATTCTTAATTTAAAATTTTATTGGTCTGTAATATTGCAGCAAAAATTGAAATTAATTTTTCTCTGCATTGTAGACATCAGTACATATTAGGGTGGCCCCAAATAAAAAGGAATATTTTCTTTTCGTCTCTTGTGAAAATATGTTAGTTTATCATGTTTCAAGAGCCCCTCAAACAATCAGTTACAAAAAATTTTTTTAGAGGAACCTTTTTTTTAATTTTTTCTAATTATTTTATCATTTTCTAGATTTTTTATTGAATTTGATGAACAAATGAATAGAAATAAATCACGACACTTAAATTTTAAAAAATTAAAAATATTTGATTCTCGCAGTGTGTAGTAAATTTTGCCTCGAGAATTTTTTTAAGTGTCTCGTGATTTATTTCTATTATTTTGTTCCACAAATTCAATAAAAAAAATTAGAAGTTCGTTGATATTTATTTTTAGAGGTCGCTCGAAAACATTTCAGGTATACTACTTTGAAAGTTAAAATAATTATGAGCGACCTATAGAAATTAAAATATCGATTTGAAATTTTCAGAATAGAGATTTTTTTCAACCTAGAAAATGATAAAATTACGATAAAAATTTTTTTTGAAAAAAATTAAATTTTTGGCGATTTTGGATATTTTAAAAAATCTTGAGCTACCTCTAAAACAATTTTTTTTTAGCAGAGTTTTTGAGGGGGCTCTTAAAACATGATAAACTAACATATTTTCACAAGACACGAAAAAAAAAACATTTTTTTTGGGCCACCCTAATAAGTATAACTATGAGAGAAGCATATCTTTTTTTTGCCAAATAAAATAGCATTTCGCGAAATATATGTTTTACTCAAAACCTCTAAAATATATGGCAAAAAAAAACAAAAAGAAAGACCGTTCCAAGTATTTTTAGCAACCAACTATGTTTCATATAAAAAATAAGTCTATATTCATTTTCGGCAACATCAAAAACCCTTCTAAAAAAACAACAAAAACATTTTTGAAGTATAGCCCGTTTGTTTTCGTACATCCTGTAATATTAAGTAAAAATAAACACCACTAGAACGAAAAGGTACATAAAAACTACATTCTAAATTTGGCGTCTAGTTGAAAAGTTACCATCTCTAAATATTTATGCGCTTACGAGAGCAACACGAACAACTCTCCGGCCTGGACCGAAGCGCGCCTCGATTATGTTGCATTGTCATCGCTGCATCCGCGTGAATAATGCATCGGTTTCTATTCGACGAATCAAAAGTGCCAGATTTATCGCTGGAACGTTTCCATGTTAAAAAATTCAAATACAAAAGCAGAAAATCACGTTGCAAACGCAAGCTGTAACAACTTTGGAACAAATTCGATAAAAATAAGATCAGAAAGTATCGGATTGCCGCTTTTAATGCCGTATTTTTTAAGAGTTCTCCGTAATTGCGCATTAATCGAATAAATCTACCGACTGTGAAAAACCACACCCGTGGAGCAGAGTTATTTGAGAAAATGCTCGGTAATTGGGTAAAAAATGCAAAAAATTGTTGAAAAATAATAATAAATTCTCAGATATCTTGATGTTGGCTCGATTTTTATAACTAAAACAACAAAACACCCACCTTGACCGCATCGTAGTGCCCCTCCTGGAGTCCTCTGGGGTCAGGCTCGTTGGTCCTCGACGGTCCTCTGGAAAGGACAAACATGTTTATTCCAGGACACAACGGCAACTCTAGTTTAGCGCCGTCAAAAAAAAATTTACACTCCGCTGCACCTGCTGCACCCAACTAACGAAGATGTCACACGGTAAACAACAACATAAAAAATGTTCACGTCGCATTCGTCAAGGTTACGGATGTAATAATTCGCGTGGTGCCACAGTCCTCGCGGCTACTGTCGAAAGAAAGCGAAGTTTTAATTACCTAGGTGACATCTTCGTGGGATGGATATTGATTTTTAATTTATTGCTTCTATTAGTTTTTGAACGTATCGGCATGTAAAGGGGTCAAACAATTCGAAAATTAAGTTTATAATTCGAAAAGCGAACAGTATAGAAAATATGAATATTCTTCTTTGTTTGAAACTGATTTTTTTTTTGCTTAGAAATAGTGTAGAGATTACATAAAAACGTTCTTGGTATTTACAAGTTTAAGGAAATGTGATAAAATATGCTGTTAACATTTTCAAAAAGTTTTATACAAGCAACTCACCTATAGACGTCGCCATTGCCATTAACATTGGGTCGCGGTGAAGACGTATTCCTACTGGGAACGGTGCTACCATTAACTGGCTTGTTCACGTTTTGTTTACTGTAACAAACGGAAAAAATCAATTTGAGAAGCAAGAGTGGCTAGAGACGTCGTTGCACACAATTAAGTTTTGTCGGCTGGCTTGACATGTGGAAGATTCGTCGGTGTACGAGGTCTGTTAAGAAAATAACCGAACTTTATTTTTTAAAACTTTTTTTTTATACTTTACTGGTCTTTGCTGCTTCAAAGTATCCCCTCCCTTATTCACACACTTTGGATAGTTTCGTTTGAAATAGCAAGTCTGTAATGAATTTACTTTGATGTCATCATTAGTCTGAAAACGATGTCCTTTCAACACTGATTTTAATTTTATTAAAGTCGGAAAAAAAACAGTGATCATCACTTTGACATTAGATGAAACTGACGTGCTCTTTTAATAGCTATGTGCTGTCCAATTTGGTTAGTGCAACTCTCTCGATTTTGAAAATTCAATACCTATATGTCTGTTTTCAGCCACGAAAATTGAACAATTCCAAATATTTCGAATTTTCACCACCAAGAACGGCGGTGACAACATTTTTAACATTAAGGCGATGTTTCGCATTGTATTAGGGCAGTTTCACGCAAATTTTTGTTGTGTCAGAAAAACGCATATTTCAAAAATCGTCACTAACACTTAAACGTTGCATTCAAATAACAACGTCACGAAAACTAAATGAGATATCAACAATCCAAGAACATGTGGGGGTTATACGCAACGCAATACTACCAACAGCATATCATTTAATATCTCTATTGGCGCAGAACTCAAAAAGTTGGGTTATTTTCTCAACAGACCTCGTATGATTGGCTAAAAAAAAACACGATAACATCGCCAATATATATCTAACAAAAGTTTGGTTACCAATCCTAAGACAGACTATAGGTACAAATTTATAAATATAATAATATTATGAAGTTACTTTTTATACGCAGCTAAATCTATTAATGTAGAAGTATACAAAAAATTGTTTCATATTTCTACAAAATTAATAAACCTGACACCTTTCAAGTTATGCAACACAGTGTTAAGTAACATTTAATTATTACATCTGAAAAAAAAAAACAATTCACGTCAATTATAGCTCCGGGAAAAGAGCACAGAATTTAATACAGGACGTTATCCTTTAAACGTTTCATTCGTATTGTACAATCATTATCTTCATCACCTAAATAAAATAATTTTGATAATGCGACCGACCTCGAAGATCTACTATTAAGTGTACACTTAATTTGAAACAATGCGTGAGGCAAACAATTCTATTTTTAGGATTTTACCACTACTACCATATCGGAACAACAGCGAACTAACCTTATACAGGGTCGGAAAGTCCCCATGGTTCATCGGTCGTTACGTGAGAGCGATAAAGAAAGTCATAGAAATCCGTGCGATAGAGAAAGATGGCTATAATGAAAACGTCTAATAGTCACCGCTCATTTCGCCCTTCCACACCCTTTCTGATCCTGTATATGTCTTACAAATTATGTATATTATTCCCTTTTTGTTCGAGTAATAAACAGGCTCTTAATAGTATTCGGTTCACACCATCATTTTCGGTTCATAATATAAATGCAGAGTAAATATCACGCCAAGGAATTACCTGTAATTTCCGTGTAAACAGCAGTGGCTCTTATCCATATACCTAACGACTTTGGTGAGACCGTGCTCCTCGATTTTTGCCCGCACCGGAGGCTTTAGATATTTATTATAATACATATCTCGAACATAAAGCCACCAAACCGACTCCACGGATCGAAAAGTTCAACAACCGCACTAAACACTAAGTTTAGTCAGCTTGAACTGCAAAAAATTCACTTGCACTTAAACATTACTGGAGGCTGAGTAAGCCGAGCGATATAAATTCGTTGTTCCGAGCTTAGTCACGCCTTGCGATATCACTTTAAGAGATGAGTGTATCAGAGGACTGCAACCGATCCAATTTTTTTCAATTAACAGCCGCTATTAACACGCGCCGGATAGAGGTTGTCCGGTAGATATGTAAGGGCTAGCAAAAAAGCAAACACGCGTGTTTAAGTAAAACTAAGACAACAGGGAGGCATGGGTTGTCTAATATACTGGGTATTGTAAAATTATGGGGCCAAACTGAAGCGAGAAGTGGCAAGTCGAGGAAAAAATCGATAATTAAATAATACAGTAAATCTTACAAAACCTCTAGCAAGCATTGACGAAAATAAGGTTCAATAACGTGATCTAATTTGTCATTTAAAGACAGACCACTCAATATATTAAGACATGTAGACGAGAACAGCAGTCGCGTGTCGGAATCAACAACTACTCCGTTTATTTCAACGAATCTGAAGTAATCCAGACCAACACCATTAAAATATTCTGTACAGTTATGAACATATTAATTACGAACACCACGATACATTTGCTAAGTAATAACCAAAGGAATTTATCATACAAGAGGTAAATTTAGAAGTCATAACGTCCTAACATGAATAATTTTTGAAAGAGAAAAACATTTTGTATTTATCTTGACTGTTTATAAATTATAATGGAAACATTTAACATATTTTTTTTATTAATGATATTGTGGCAAACAACTATTCTTCACGCAACAACTAGTATGAAAAACCACCAGACATATACCGGTTTCAAACTTAGTTTCAGGTCAGGTCTTGTATTGCGCACACTGTAATGCGACGTAGCCAACTTGACAAGATTATCCAAGTTCTGTCTTTTTCTTTAAATTATCGTATTCCCTTACACCCTTTATAAATAAGTATGTGCAACGTTTTCAGTCATTATTGTACGCAAAAACAACTAATTGTAAGTAGACGCTATGAACAGAAATCGTGCTGCCAGCACTTGTTCAATTACGTCACTGTTTATAGTTGTGGAATGACCACTAGCTCGACACTTCATCGTTTCATCAAATGTTTTTTAACACAATGACGGGATGGCCTATTTAGCGACCGCGATTTACAATTCTGAATATTTACGTTGTAACAGGAAAATGATAACAGGTCCGCCTGACGCATCGTTAGGAGTGACATCAGTATTCCAAATAAACGACTTATTTGGCTTGACATCGCCGTATCAATTTTACGACTGTATAAATAACTTTTTTTTTTAGAGACGCTTTTTTAAGGAGTGTCGAGATTATGCCGTGGAATGCCCTAGTTTTATTAATTATGAACAAATATCGGCTTTCGATTTAAAAGTTTATGTTATCTAACGTTGTTAAGAGAGAGTTCCATATCGTGAAGAAGAACTGCGAAGAGTAACTTCTGCAACTGGTACACAACCATTTAAGAAAGTTATATTGTCAATATGGCTTCGCTTAGTTGTTTGGAAAAATGGAATTGTATTGGGTGCCAAAACTTTTCTTTGCTATGATCCTATAGACATAGACAAAAGTAAAGAATTTTTTGGATTTTTGATTTGTGGATTGATCTAGGATACACCAAACGACAAACCATACTGACTCAAGTATGTGATTGCTTAAAAACACTTGGTGGCAGCACTGTTACTGTTACGTGAATTAAGAAATTGGTTATTCTGACTGTTCTTACTTCTGCTTGTCTTTGACATTAAAATGTAATTTTCACGGAAGAAACTATAATGAAGTTTTGAGGTGACCTTTGACCGTAACCGTCCGAATATCATACCTCAAAGAACAGAGAAACAAACATCAATATTCGTTTGTCGTCTTGAGCTCTGGGAGGTCTTAACAAAGACAATGAATAATAATTACTGAATATCAACTGGCAAATAGTTGAAAACACTTTTATTTATTTCGAAATAAACAAAAAACAACTCCTAATTTAATTAACAAAACCACCGGTTTGGTTTAGGTGCCGTTTCGGTTAGTAATTCGCAATTACGGTGAATCACGGTCAAGTAATGAAAATGAAAAACAAAGACCTTCGAATCTATCGAATAAACAAGTAAAAATCGTGACCGCTCTCGTTGGAATATCGCAGTTAAGTGTTCCTGCAAACAAGCTCTGCGCAAAGCGCGATAATTGTTTAGGAATTTTTTTGTACTTAGTAAGCGTATAATTTGATATAATAACGGCCTCCAAATAGGAAATTAACTTGGACAAATGTCTGTAATTTATAGAGCCAGCATTAGACAAGGTAAACTGTCTGTTATTAAGACGTTTTTTGACGCAGTACAAAATTTATAACATACAGATAGCAACATCTCGAAAATTTAAGTTTAGTATATTGTTGTTCAAAATATTGTCTTTCAAAATGGAAACTAAATGAGTAAGGTGTACCAGAAAGGTTGGGATACTGCTCAACTGCAGATTTTTTAAGGTAAACTACTTAGAATTACAGTTGGCCGTATTTTCTACTTAAATTACAGTCAGCAGTGTTATAAAGTTGACATCATTCTTTTCCTATTGCAATTCTAGGGATATGAAACATATATTTGGGACAATTATCTGTTTTTACCGCTTCCTCAAATATAAAAATGAGAACTAGGATAATACCGACACATATCAAGTAACAAGCCTTTATCCAAACTAGTTTGAGCAACATTAAAAAATGTTATTTCGTACCACATTAAATGTAACCACATTTAAGCAAGTTTAACACTTTTTAGATATTTTGCCACTGTACAATAACAACAATTATGTTAGCTCGTAAAAAAATATAAATTTGTCTAATCTATGACAGAAAGATGTATCTAGTTTCTTTCATACGAATTCTGAAGCAATTATCAAATTTCACGAAACCATAAATTTTTTTCTTGAAGGTTTCGTACGCTACTTATTAACTTTCTCTTTCAACCGAGTGTTTACATTTTTGCCGACATAACTGATGGGAGAAGAACTAACGATTTCCTCCTAATAATCACATCCTACGGTTCTATTACTCACAGTTTGTGGGACAAATCGCACAAAAAACTTTCGCGGACGAAGTTCGCGTCGCTCTCGACTCGAGATTACACAACAATTGCCTCTCGGTACTCACCCGACGACTTGATAACAAAACGAATAAAAAATGAATTAATGCACTCTGGCGGTAGCGCGCGCTAAACGCCTACGACGAAAACGCATCGCGTACTACCGCTTGGATTACGGTGTTCGTTCGCGCCTGCCGTCGAAAATCGCCGTCACAACAAAAGTTATCAGCAAGGGTAACAAGCGCTTCGCGGTCCAGATCTGTCACGATGATATTTCACCTAATATGCGATCAAATCAAAGAATTAACACACCTACACTAAGAGAACCACCGTTGCATCAAGCTGTAATATTCCGATGCACATGGTTGATGGTGAATAATTTCGATTATTTTGTATCCGGTCACCTCCAAAAATATTCCTTAACAGTATTTGCCAAAACGCCGAGCGGATCCGCAACAAGCGATATTTACCTTATGAAATTGCAGAACATCATGAAACGCCTGGACATCTTCCAATATAAGTCCATGCTTGGAATCGCACAGTTGCGTATCGAGACTCGAACGAGCGGTTATGTAATTCGGACACCGCAAGCACTTTCCCGATTTGCACTGATTTAGATTTTAACTCGGCTATTTTAAATACCACACAGTCACTTTACCAGTTTTGTTGGTTTTGTTACGAATTTGACGGAGATCTAGATCGGTCGCTCATTCCGTGTTGTGGGGCCGGCAAAGTCGAACGAGTTGCTGAATTACCCAGGGCGCTAGTTGGACAACTTTGATTTTTCTCATTCGGCGTATACCTTTGAACGTACATTCTCCTTCATGCAATAGTTATAGTGCGGGGACTTTCCAAATTCAAGCGAGTCTTTGTTAATATTATTACATAGTAGACAGGAATCAGTAATTGACAGTAAACGCCGTCAACAATGTCACGGACATAATCCGTGAGCAACAGGGCAAAATCAATCGCCGATGATAGTCACAGCAGGTACAATGGATATGTATCAAGGACATTCAACAAGTTATTATGCATTGTAGACATTTATCGACAAAGGAATGCTTATTAACACTGACAGCTGCTAACTTGTGGCGTAAAATTCAAGGAATTCCGATTTGTTCCATATCACTTAGCATCTTCCTAATGCTGGCTGTAGATACGGTAAATCTATAAGCAACAACAGAACACTCAAAGAAATAATGACAACAGAAATACATTTTAATCACAGCTTAGTTAATTTGAAAAAAATATTTTATAAATATTCTCCTGAAATGCTTACATTTCAATGGAACGCAATAAATGACATTGAGACATACCTTCCGACAAATAGAAATTTTTGTAGTATGCCCCGAGGCTAACAAAAAATATGGCATGCCGCTCCACATATAAAAAACCACGCGATTCCCACGAATCTCAATTTAAATGGCGATGGTATGCGAGGAACTTACAAATTTGTCTTTTTTAATTAGAAATAATTGTATGTAAACACGTTGATAGTTGCTGGGTGGATAGTAATTGTCTCGGAAGAGATTTGAATCGGCTGGGTTAAGGAAAATAGGCTTGGCTATTTGGATTATCAACTGGAAGAACAATAAGTATACAAAACCAAAAACAGACTGGACGAAAAGGGTGAAACTTTGTTATCGACGTGATTTTATAAAAAAAGAAACAATAAAGTGTTGTGTTTAAATGTCGACAATGACACATCAAGTTTCGATGTAATTTAAATCAACAAAACCGTACGTTTATGGAGAATTCAATTTACAACTCAAATAGCAGACAATACAGAACAGCAACAGATATGATCTCTCTTGGTAATTCAGATCGTAAACAGTAAACAGGCCTGATTAACCGCAATGAATATGGCACTCGGTTATTTGTGAAATTGAGAAGAACGAATATGGTCGTCAGATGGGATTGGTGTTTTATTAACATTTAGTTATGGCGAATAATTATAAACGTTTATTCATATTGCGGGCCTGTAGGCAGTTCAGTTATTAATATTTATTGGGACGAGAAATGAAAACAAAGTGATCTAAAAGGAAATTTTACTCATGTTTCGAATTTCTGAAACAATAAAGTAAATCCCTAACAAAACTAACAATCCATAAACAATTACGTCCACTCCCACATCTCATTCACAACCAATCTCCGTAATTAGCGCTCGGTGTTCGCATTTAATTCTAATCAGCTACGTGTGCGCCAAATCAATCACTTTGTTGCGCAACCGGCGTAATTAACGATTCACTTCATACACCCACAAGAGCTTTGTCTATAAAGTAATGACACGACGTGCCGAGGAATAATGTTCTAAGCGTTATAATCCTGTACAAGACGGGATTATCAATGTCCCTTGAACTCGATGACACTGAGGATGAAGTTCGGCGTGGCTTTGGAGCTATTGAAGCTCGCCACTAGGACAAACTTCCATCAAACTGGTGTTAACCTAATTTATAGAATTTCGGAAGAGTGGAAAAATTTCCGGTTAACCACACCTTACGAAATTCTTGAAAAAAAAAATGGAAGAACAGTATACAGACGAATTGCGATTGTAGTGGACACTGCCCTGAATTTGATTAATAATTCCATGCAAATTTAAAGTGTTTAATATACAGATTGCAATTTATAGTTTCCTATATGGCGAAGTGATAATTTTAAAGTGTATTAAGGTTGTTGATCCAGGATATTATCGACGAAGAGAATGGCAGAGTATAATTCAATGCCGGTAGGGGTATATAGCTCTCGGAGTAGTTGTTTCTCGCAACACTGACAATTCAAATGGCAGAATTTTCCTGAATTAAAGAGCGCTTCCTTGAAAACTGCCGATGTTTCGAAAAATTTACTAACTGAATAGTGAAATTAAATGCATATTAATATTCTTTAAAAATAAAAATATATTTAATCGGAATAATTCGGTGAACTTTATAAAGATGATTCATAAAGGATGCTGCTAAATTTAGCTGCCGAGTCACCAACGGTAAGAAAAAAAATTCGTAACAACTTTTGTTATTTATATTGATGACTTCATCAAGAACTCACTTATAAAACTGCAAATATTAATTTGTTTAAATTACACATTAGAGTATGCAAAACAAAACAGCTATTGGTAAATCCGAATTCTTGTAAAAATGGTTTGACTATTAATGAAATTTGTATATTTAACAGAAAGCTTCCCTTTACAAGATCAAAAACACATAAAATTCCAAAAAAAAATCTAGGGGTGCACACATAAATCAAGCATAAGCGGCCCCCGAACTGATCCCTGTGGTACACTCACACATACATCAACGACTAATAAGAAATTACTCACCATTCTTCCACATATTTGCTATTCTCGTTGTTAATCTGCTTAATCAGTTCCTCTCTCTCCCTTTCTCTCAACGCCAGCGCCTCCTGCAGCTTCTGCTTAGTCTTTTGGAATTCCTTCACCAACTCCCCGGAAAAACTGTGATCCAGATTGGGAATACTTTCCGCGGGTGTCGTGAGGACGATGCTTTGTGTTGCGGTGGGTCTCTCGTTGAGGGAATCCCTTCTAGAAGACCTAGAACATCATGGAAACTTTCACATTTGATCAGAGATAGCTCTAGTCAGAGATCGTTAATAAACAACGAATGAGAAATAGGCCTGAATATGCGACCTTGGAGTATACTTCATTGTGCATTTACCTTGCCGTTCCCATCGAAGCAGGGCTCTCCCTGCCCCTGTGCTCTGGGGTTGAGGCGTTCGAGACCTTCCTCTCGGGACTCTTCGTGTGTATGGTGGGTAGGGTGTTCGAGTGGATCTTGGGGGTGCTGGTCTGTTCCTGGATGGAAGGCAGCTGTTGGAACTCGGCATAGCTGTTGCTCAGGAACACCTCGCCTTCGTTTTCGAACAACCTGTCCACCGATGTGTTCATCAGTTTGTTGTTCTTAATACCTGAAGTCAAAAGAAAGTGTATTACGCACATCGCAGTCGGCGATAACAACTAAGGTTGAATTATTTTCTAGACGGATAGTGTGTAGCTGAGACTGTGCGCGAATTATGTGGAATTTTCGGTAGAAGGAACAATCTTGATTTTCTACTCATAAAAACTCAGGAGAAGCTCTCTAAATGGTAGAAACTAGCCTACTCTGTTAAATAAATAACCTTATGCAACCAACGTTACGTAAAGCTTGCCATTCGCTAAAAATCGTTATAATTCTTCTGAATATTCTATGAGACTTTGCCGAAATAGGAAAACAGATCTCCAAATAAATTTTAAAACCACACGATTTTCCTAAATTACTGATAACAGGACTGTCAAAAGAAAAAAAAGCATGCCTCGACAGCCCGTACCATCCCTTTCGGTTACCTGTGAGGTGGAAGCTGGCGAAGCTACTCCTGGACATGGGCCCGTTGAGGCTGATGTCGCCCGTGCTGAGCGCCATCAGGCGGGGGTTGCCGTTGATGGCGGCAGCTCCGGCGGTGCCGCCGTGCGCCAGGCCGTACGGCAACCCGTCCAACACCGGCATCAGCGAGCGGGTCATGATGTCGGCTGCGGAACGGGGCCGCGTGAACGGCATCGCCGAGTGGGGGAAGGTCTTTGGCTTGATGGGAGTGACTAACCTGCGGAGCAACAAGATCATCGTTCAGGGCTTCGAGTATAGGCTATTCGCGGGGTGTTAGAAATAAACTTCTCGTTTCGAAACAAAGTACAGGTACCATAAAACAAGTAATTTATTGCTAAATTCTCTAGAGTGATGAACAAGTTAGGGTTAATGTTTTTTATTAGGTAAAATTTTAAATGATGTAATATTTCTATCTAGGTACTAAAAATTTGTTATCAAATTGCTGTAAATCACGGAGGCAAATATTAATCATGGAAATATAGAAAAAAACACTAAATTAAACGAGTAATCGTAAGACCCAGGAATTGTGAAATTGAAATAGTTTACCACAATTTAATAATGATCACCAGATAATTAAAAATTGGTAACCACTGACAGTTATGCGATGAACAATTCACAATTCGCTTATTTAATTGTTATTTTATTGCCCGTAACCGCTAATTAATTTTATAGCACAAAGAACAAGGACAAAAAAAGTTAAGATCGATTTCCAATGTTGGAATAAAAATTGTGAGAACTTGAAACGATTTAGTCGAATGAAAATATACTAGTAAACGCTCAACCTACGAGTGGTAGTGGGATCTGCCAAAAAGCATGACTTAATTCTATGGATTTTGAAGCTGTTGAGCTCGAGTAAGACATAAAAAAACTGAACTAACATGTGCTCAGTCCACGAGGTCTCCAACGAGGGCCTCTCGAGTCTCTCCACGTCAACGTTGAGCGTGCGCTGCTCGAACGGCACCGAAAACGTCTCTGGCGGCACGCTCTGCAGCCACGACAGCAAACTCAAGTCGGAATCACTGAATCCCACGCTACCGTCCAGCAGCCTGCTGAAGCTCATCTCCTGCGACTGCGTCTCCGGGCTGCCCGTGGCCTTAGCCTGGCAGTAGTTCACGCATGACTCGTACAGGATGCCCTTGATGATGAGCTGGATGAGACGGTCGTTCTTGGCGCACGTGTTGGCGTTCGCGTCCGCGGACTTCCGGTCGCCCGGAAGGAACTCGGCGACGAGGGGGTACACTTCGCGGAAACACTGGACGCGCGCGTTGCTCGGGTTCCAGTCTTTGTATTGGAGGTGGTCGGAGAGACGCGGTAGGGTCAGCAGGAGGCACATCGTCGAGTAGTCCTCCTTGGAGGGGGAGTATTTTTCTAGTTCGTTCAGCACCTTCACTACTTCCTCCACCGCGTTGTCCACGCTACTGCCTGCAACAAAAAATATGATGTCGAGGTTCTAAAGAAAGTCAGGAATAAAATCTATCTAAAGATCCATCACCTCATTATGTTCCCAGCAGCATATTTACCTTGTACATTAGCTTCTGACTTGATGCACAGCAGCTCTATGTACTTGTGCTTGAGGATGGCGTAGCTGAACCTGCGCATGTCGAAAGCTTTGAGCGCCTCCAGCGGCTGGATGAATTCCAGTACGTCGTCCCACTGGCCGTCGAGGATGAGTTGGCGCAGGAAGAGCACGTCGTCGGAGTAGTTGCCGTTGATCACGCCCGTCTCCCGTTCGAGGCTGAGCTGGGAGATGTGCAGCTCGCGGTTGTGGAGGAATTCCAGAGCCAGCCGAACGACGTCCTCCTCGCGGAGGGTGAGGCGGGCCGACGGCATGACGTACCGAATTTGCAATCTGAAACGGAAAAAAAAAACTAGTTTTATCGGAAACTATTTATTATAAATATTACAATTGCAGTTATTGCGATTTAGTTAATTAATGATGATCTTAAACTAGTCGATTTTTTTCTTCTGTAACACGTCTTTGGAAACGTCAGGGAGTCTATACCGATGACGTGGCAACCAGCATGGAAATTGTTCAACAATTGACAACTGCCAGAGCAGCCAAGATAGAGGGACGATAATAGTACAACACAGAAGAAAAATATTAAAGATTTGAGAACCAGTAATTGCTTTTTCAAATGCGACAGGAGTATAATTAATACTTAAATAAGGATATCCTGTTTGAAGACCATTTCAATAATTCATAAGATTAAAAAATTATCCTAATTAGAAACATGAAACGTGCATTAAGATTTGCTTTCAGCATATCTAAAATATATCTAGTTTTCGGTCAGTCGCATTCCTGGAATAGTTTTACATTTTCTGTAAACACGAAATAGAACTGTTTTAGGTCATAATCATATTTTAAATAAATAAAATTAAAAATTATGTACACAATAAGCATATATACGTACATAATTTACATTATTTGCTTATATAAAGTATTTATTTATTAAAAAACAACAAAACTTACAGTTTGGTATTATTACGAAACATCAACATTATACATCACACAAATTCACACATAAAACACTTGCATCCATTGTAAAAACTTATAATTGCGAGACCCTGAACCAACTGATCGAATAATAGTTACTAATAACTGTCACATTGCATTATACGGTGAAAAATGCTTCGGATGTGGAATATTAAAACTGTAATGACACGCTTATACTTATTGGGATGGGTACAGGTCGACTGATAGGACAAGGTGCTCTATTTCGTCCAGGACATGGTTAAATATTTGTGCTGAAAGAAGAAAGACTACTGCAGTAGGTAGTCGATGATAAAACACATTTAGCAACAGAAGTTGTTGGTACATATTTCACAAAGAAAGAGAATAACAATACACCAAATAACCTACTTTTGCATTAGTATTTTTTGCTACAGTGAACTACAACATTTTCAATTATTGTAGCAATATATTAAAATTTTTGCAAGTGATGGTCGTAATAAACTTGTTTTATATAATATTATTTTAAAAAGACAAATCCCAAGGACATGATATCAGAACGTATTTCAACAACTAAAGTGCAATGTATGTATCCAGTATTTCCCTCGATTCTCTTTTGTTATGTTTCTTTTTGTTTAGAATGAGCACCATGTGTCGTGTGTCACGACGCAACTTGATTTTTCTCCACGCGAAAATCAAATTATAATTAGTTGGACATTTTCAAGCACTTGTTATGACCCTTTAAGGATAATTTGCTTTGTTAACAAAGAACATACAATGAAGCATAATTATTACCTACCATGTAGAAAATTTAATCTACACATACAAACGATTCAATCTTATACGAGGTCTGAGCAAAGAGTAAGTAAAACGATCCTTTTTTGTGCACCTATTGGTAGAACTGTCTATTTTTCGGCACCTGCCACAGTTAGTTTGAGTTTAGCGGGCGATTTTTTGTGCGGCGAAATGTCGGATTAAAGAGTCTCTCTGATATTTTGTGTTAAAAACTTAAACATAAAGAAGTACAAATGTTTTCAGGAAAGCCAAGATTATGTCTCAAAAGGATACTCAAAAGACAACGTTTTTCAACAATGGATGAGATAAAGACAAAATCGCAAACCGTGTTCAAGACGATACCCGTTACCTTTTGATCAAACCTCGTATAACATGCATATGCATTTGTCTCAATACTTATCTCTTAAACTAGGTAATACACGTGTTTCATTTTTTTTATAATGTTCGAGAAATAAGAGACTTGCTTAGTAAAAGCAATATCTCGACGAAAGAAAGCTTAATATCATTATACCATTTAATGTGCCAGCTGAAATGTTTCCTGGGAAGTCGTTTCGAGCGGCTTGGGCTTTTAATTACCATATTTTTCTATTTTAATAGCCAATTAAGTGCGTTTTATACGCCGATGCTCATCTGTCTCTAGTGCTGATGGTCGTTTCACAAAAGGAGATAACGGTATAGCGAATCGATATAGTGGTAAAATTCGTTGCAAATCGAAGAATTATTAAGATTCTTTGATTCACTTAGGTGTGTCGAAATTATCCATACAACTTATGTAAATTGCGATGAAGAATTATAAGCATAATAATATTAACAATGCGTAATTTACATTAAAAGAAAACATCCATAGCGCAGAATTGTCACTTTATTTATTCTAACCATTTACTCTAATAGTTGTAAACTGTAATGGAGTCCGCAAATTGGACTTAGTTATCTACAATAAGTATAACTACTATAATATTGTCATTATTTATTTTCAATCAACACATGTGTATATTTGATACACTACCTTGTTTTTTTTTACTGTTAATTTTGTTTGGTAACTTAACTTTCATTTTCTAGCACATTGTAAGTAAACTGAGCTCAAATAAAACATTCATCTTTCTTATTATCGACAGATACCTTCCGCGTCTCTGAATAAAAGACGTCAGCACAAACATCCCTTAGTTATTTTTGTCCATTAAAATATATTGTCATAAACAAAAAGCCAGGAAAACGCAAACATCGAAGTTATCTTCCGACTTCCGTTTTCTTAGTCGAAAATACACCGAAAGCTTTTGAAAGCTGTAATGAGAAAGTTCCCTGTCCTTGTCCCCTGAAAGCTTTCAGCAAAGGAGGATAAATAATCCTCCATTATCAAAGTTTCAGACCCGTGATGAACGTTCCTTGAATGTAAAAAACGCTTTGGGGTATATTTCCGCGAAGTTCTCCTGAATGCTGAAAAATTTACTTTTTCGAGAATCGAGAAAATATTTACACATGGTGCGATTTATTTCCTCGAAAGAGTAAAGAAACATTAACATTAAGATGTACGTGGTTAGCATAATATGCGATATCCCTAATCCGCTTTAAGGCAGCTCATATTTCTCTAATACTATTTAAAATAACACGCGAAAGGTATCGTAATGTAACACCTAATATAAATATTCCATTTTAAATTTACACATATTTAAAACATTGTTTTTCTGCTACATGCCAACATTTTCAACATACTTTCGAATACGGTACCACAAAAACAATCAACGTAACTGTTGACTTAACAAGAATAGTAGATAAGTAAACTTACTACCGTGATCGTCGCTAAAAAAAACCGTGGTTAGGTTGGCTCGAACAGGTCGACTTGACTAATTTGTAGAAGCAACTTTTTCTAGAAAAGCTATTTGCACCTACGGAATCTGCACAATGTTCAATTTCACTTTGTCTCAACCGACACGCGATTATCAGGTGATTATTAAACTTAATGTGCTATTAACACCACACCCATTAAATGTATAAATATTAACGCAACTTAGTTAAAAAAATAAAATCTTTAAAGTAACAGTTCTTCTCTACTAAATGCGATAAGAATTATAAATATATTATTTTTCAATATCGCATATTTAATAGTTAAAAAAATAAAGTAAAACGACTCAAAAACAGTAAGATCGGGATTCAAAACCGAGGCGAATTTACCAGAGCCTGGCCTCTCGCGACTAAGGATCTTTCGCACATTAGATAATAAAACCTCTGTTAATCGACCTATAAACTACAACCCCGTGACCAGATAAAGAACACAAAGACCTTTTGTGCGAGACAACAAAGTAAATAAACTATCAATAAACAAACGACAGAAGCTTGAAAGCCAGCCTATTGACCGTGGGTTCCAAACAACCATTCGTCGCGTTTAATTAAACAAGATTTACAACGGCCGTAAAGGCACAGTTAAATGTAATGGCGACAAGTTAGTGTGCACTTTCCTCGAGTCACTTCCTTAACAGAAGCCATGTTTCACAAAAGTGGAGATGATATAAACAAACTGCTTCAGCAATGAAATACATCTCTATTCCAACATTAGAAGGGCCAGTTTGGATGGCTTCTTGACCTATTTATTATAAATAAGTTCCAAGTTTTCTTCTATTTCCTGCACATACCTTTTGACGTACCGTTCAAGAGGAGGTGACTCTTAAAATAGTGGATCGCTCGTAGAAAAGGCTTTAAATAAGGTTACGGAAGTGGTTAAGAATAGAACGTTATTATTACCTTACGGTAAGTCTTCGTCTCGATTGTTTCAAGATGTTGCATCTGTCTCCAAATGTTTATATATGTTTAAACAGCATTAATCGAATGAGTCCAAATGTCGAGTAGGTGTTCAAGTGTTCATTTGAATGTAAAAAATAGAAAAGTAACTACAAAGAACGTTTCCCAACGAATATGATTTGGTTAAAGCTTCAATCTAGTACAAGAAAGTAATGGAAATTTAAAATATTTTAGTTGCCATCTAGCTATGATAATTTTTACGTATTATGAATAAATACAGGCGAAGCACTATAAATCTCGGATTATCCGCCGGCCATCTGGTCCAGTCGGTCATTATCAGTAATTGATCGTGACTAATGGTACATCGCGTACATTATTAAAATTGCGATGTGTAGATAACATAGCTTTAGAGCCGGCTAATTCAATGTTGTCTTTAATAAACCAACTTTACATCAATCTTCATCATCACCGGTAGAATTTTACTAAATATATTTCCTCGACAACCAAAATGTTTAAGAGTAAATACAATGCATAAGCCTCTCATTTTATTTTTAATGGATGTGGTTTATATAGGACAAAAAGTAATCTAATGCCTGTGTAAAAATCTCTTTAAGTTCGCCAAGGATATTCTGGAGAACCACGATACTAAATCATACCTCGGTGACATTTTAAAACTCCCACAACTCCATTTGCATGTCTAATGGGTCTACAGGATCATTATACATACATAAAGTATTATAATGACCAAGACCGGCTCTAGTGAAGTGAAATATTGCCGAAACTAAAATACCAGATCTCCAAAGTCACTGATTTTGAACATTGATCGGCGAACAAGTTATCATAAACATATTCAGGCTCACTATTCTGATTTT